CTCTAGACTACATAACATGTTTCCAGGAACATTGCACCTCTGTTTTAGGGGTTGTGGACTTGCTGGCACTCTGGTGCATATGTTTTGGGCTTGTCCTGGTCTTTCTTCAATCTGGCGTAAAGTTTCTGAGGTGGCCTCAGCCCTTGCGGATTTGCTGGTAAATTTATCATTGTTTATTGGGTTCTCCCATTCTGAGGATCCCGGTAAACATAATGAGGCTAATTCATACTATCTTCGTCTCTACCCTATGGGCCATTGCCCTTCATTGGAAGACACCAGCAGTCCCGTTGTCCTCTGTTCTGCGTGGAGTTGATATGGTTATGCTCATGGAACGTATTCAATATACATTGATAGATAAGATGCAGTTATTCAACAGAAAATGGGATGGTTGGATGTCATATCAGCATTTATTGTTAGAATGACAGTTTATCATAGACTCTGGTTTATCAGACAGTTTTTTTTACTTATGTGCCTTTTTCTTGTTGTATACCATACTTCATGAAGTGGTGCTATTTTTTTTGTCTATCTCTTAATAAAAACATTTGTAAACAAAAAAAATTATACCCCAACAACAGTTATAGTAGCAGGTAATGCACCTGAACGTCATAGCGTATGCTGCACATTGCAGTGTATGGCATTAAAAAAGCATTAATAAAAATTTAAAAAAAAGCACCTTAATGCACACACACTGGTACTGCAAATGGATCTTTACAGTATACCCTGTTTCCCCTAAAATAAGACCTACCCCAAAAATAAGACCTAGTGCTATTTTTGGGAATTGCTAAAGTATAAGACCTACCCTGAAAATAAGACCTAGTTGTGATCAGGGCTTTTTTTCAGCGGATCGTGGCGGAACGCCATTCCGCCACCTCCGGCACTGGCCTTGCGCATACCCATATCTACTGTCTCTTATAAACACAGAAGCGCGGCTGAAGTGACAGCACCATCCGCTCCCACAGAACCTCCCTACCTCTGTACTCACTGTGGGACAGGGAAGGAACAGATATCTGCGGGTGCAGTATGCAGTGTGATTAGGGGTGGGGCATCTCTTCCTGAAGCCTAATGCATGGAAGCCGATGCCCCAGGGGTGATCACCGGCCATTGGGGAAGAGGCGGAGTGGTGAGTAAGTGCGCTTGGTGCACTGTGTGGGAAGATAGGACCCGAAACAGGAGTTACAATAGAGAGGGGCCGGCTGCTGACAGCTGTGTTTTGCAAAGGTGAGCTGCAGTCAGGTGTTGCAGAGGTAAATTGAGTTAGGTGAGTTGCAGACAGGGTGCCTAGGTGAGCTGCGGCTGGGGGGAGGGGTGCAGAGGTGAGCTGAGTTGCAACCCACCTTTGCATCCCCCAGCCACAGTTCAGCTCTGCACCCCCTTGCCACAGCTTAGCTCTGCACCCCCTGGCCACAGCTCACCTCTGCATTCCCCGTCTGCAACTCACCCCTGCACCCTGTCTGTGGCTCATATCTGCACCTTGTCTGAAACTCACCTATGACAGTGTCTTATTTTTGGGGAAACACGGGTAGTTTCCAAATGCATACAGAGCAACTATCCATGAGTTGTTACCAGTACAATTGCATCTACAGATAATTGCTTAGAATACACTTGTACGCAAAGCCAGCTGCTGGAGTAGGAGCGTATGTTGTAAGTTTATCAGGCAAATCATATGCCAGTGTTCAATAGATACAGTGAAGTCTGCATGCTTTGAACATCATAATAATGCTGATAGTGTGCCTTCTGGTGTAATGGATTGCTCAAAGGAAATCTTGCGTCTATATTTGACTTGAATATGAAGAAATAACAAAAAACGATTTGCCAAATTGTCAGGTTGTTAATAGTCTTGTTGTGTGTTTCAAGTTCTTCCTCAAAATTCATATCAAATCCTTATCTGAGCATGCAGCGTAGCTGCCCAGAAAGGGGGACAACAAGAGTGCTCCTGATATTCCACCTTAAAATAAATCCATTAAAAAGTAAATGGCAGACTCAGTGTGGTTGACTTATTAAAACTGAAGAGTGCAAAATCTGGTGCAGCTCTGCACAGAAACGAATCAGCTTTTCAGTATTATTGTCAAAGTTTAATTGAACCAGCTGAAGTTAGACACTGATTGGCTACCATGCACAGCTGCACCAGAATTTGCACTCTCCAGTTTTAGTAAATCAACTCAATTTACTATGTAAGAAAATAGTTGGCTCCACTTTAAGGGGAATTACAAATATGGAGAGAATGTCCATCACGTCCCTCTATTTCTAGGGGTGATAGTTTTGTATGCACAGTGAGTGGGAAAGAATTTAGAGTCAAATCCTTTATCAATTCTAACACCCAACATATTATTTACTTAATTACTTGTGGCATTTGTTCCATTCAGTATATCGGGGGGGGGGGGGGGGGGGGGGGGGGGGGGACAAAAAGAAGCCTGAAGGACCATTTACATGACCATGTCTACAATACTGAGAAAGAACACCTTATGAATGTGGCCAGACATTTCAATGATCATCATGAAGGCAATCCTTCAGCCTTACATATACAGAGCATATAAAAAGTTGTAAATTCTAGGAGAGGTGGGGACTCATTTAGACTTTTGCGTAAACTGGATTTTTCACTTGCAGACCAGAATCTCTGGTGGGTTAAATTTTGAAGGGAAACTCACTTATTTTTATGCTTAATGATGAAATATTTTCATGAATAGTGACTCAATATGCTTACAGTATTTATGATAGTTACATGCTATATGGTTTTTGTCCCTTTTTAGGTCCTGCGTACAGTCATTTTTTATATATATATTATGTGCTATGCATTATTTAAAGATTTATATCAAATAGGCTTTTGTTTTTCATTTTGGAAAATGAATGGTTGGAGTGCCAAGATGTAGGAGGAACTAAGTCCCTATAACAAGAGAATATTGGAAACAGAGGTTGCCCATGGGATTTTTGTTGAGTTGTGCCATAAAGATTAATACCACTTTATATAAAAATATCACATCTTTTATTATTTATAAAGGTTAAAAGCAAGGTGCAATATCCATATAGCCATGCAATAGAAAGATAAAACATTTAAATATTGGTATCTGTTACACGCAGGGGCGGACTGACCATTCAAGCACTCGGGCACTGCCCGAGGGCCCGGGGTGAGTAGGGGGCCCCATGAGATGCCCCTGGTACCATTCATTGGCTTTTTTGGGTATGGGTGGGTGAGGACACAGGGGCCCCATGATCCCCTATTGCACGGGGGCCCCATGAGTTGTCAGTCTGCCCCTGGTTACATGTGAAGACAAATTTTTTTTTCACAACAATCAAGTACTGATAATCATCTCAACAAGTTTCATGAAACTTCTTCAAGAGTTGATGAAATCCAGATACATATCTGTAGAGCGACCATGTTATTAAGGATAAATAAATGTATAAGCAATGTGTGAAGGTCATGATAGTCACACAACAATAAAAAGGCTGTAGAGTATCACAGGAACAAAAAAAAATTACCAAATGGCAGGTGCAACCAAGGGCAACATTAGGCATGTCCCAGCTGGGAGCTGAAGGTAGGGCAGGTCACCTGGCAGAGGCAAACAAGGAGGCTCACAGAGACAAGGCCAACATGTACTGTATATGGGAAATTATTAGAACTTGAGTATAAAGATATGCAGTAAAGTGACTGGATATATCCAAGAATCCTATCTCATTGACCACCACCACAGTGTCAAAGCATGCCCCATGTTGGAAAAACAGGGGGAAAATGAAAAGCTGCCTAGAGTATAAAGGTAACAAGTTACAAAAATTCTTGGACATACTTAGTCACTATATTACATCTGTATACTTATACACCTAGTAAGTGATTAAACACACTTACACACTTTGACAAGTCCATTATTTAAAAAGCTAAAAAGTATCAATGTTGTATTGCATATCATCCAGTGATGTAGATCAACATCAACCATAATGAGCGACACCCACTGATCAGTCAAAAGAAAAACCCATCAACCAACAAACATGATGGATCCTCACTGTTGCAGCTAAATTTAAACAAAAGGGGCAGGATATTCTGGGTGATATATTTAACCCCCTATGGCAATGTCCACATTTGGTCAATGGTTTTACTGGGTATACCACACCCCTTTGCTTACATTCAATAGTCAGGTAGGAAGCTGTCCTTCCACAGTGAGCAGTCAGTGGAAGCAGTTGGTATCATTGTGTTTTTTGCTTTCCACAGGTCCATGAGCATCTTTCATAGTGATTGATTTGGATCTACCTTGCTGATGAATGTAGTTTAATGCTAAGTTCCCCTTTGTATCATGTTATAACTACCACACCATTGGAAATTATAGTACTATTTATACTACTAAGAGTAAAATGTGATAATGAATTAAAGTGTTTGTTCACCAATGACAAGGTCTACCAAGCAAAATAGGAGAGTTTAAGCTTTGGTGCATGAAAAGAACTATGATTTATTTGGTATTGCTTATTCTTGGCTTCATTCTGCACATGATTGGGCTATTAATATTCCTGGCTATGCTCTAATTCTGAAAAACGCTAGTGGTGTGTGTCTCCATGTGAGAAGTGATCTTAAAGTGAGTGTGAAAGAGCACCTAGTTAATGGAGAGTGTGATGAGGCTGAAACATTTTGGGTGTATCTGCAAATGGGTGTGTATTGGTCATTGGAGTTTGTCTTAGGCCACCCAGTGTTATTGAGGAAGTAGAGACTTGGCTCCTTGCACAGATAGAAAGGGCTTCAAGGGCCGGGACAGTGAAAATAATGGGGGATTTTAACCACTAGCCTACAGGGCACTTATACCCCCTTCCTGCCCAGGCCAATTTCCAGCTTTCAGCGCTGTCACACTTTGAATGACAATTGTCATTGCAACACTGTACCCATAAGAAATTTTTATCATTTTTTTTTAGACAGATAGAGCTTTCTTTTGGTGGTCTTTATTCACCTCTGGGATTTTTATTTTTATTTTTTCTTGATTTTTCTCCTTCACTGATGTGCACTAATGAGGCTGCAGTGATGGGCACTGATAGGTGGCACTGATGGGCACTGATGAGGAGGCACTGGTAGGTTGCACTGATGGGCACTGAAAGACAGCACTGATACATGACACTGATATATGGCACTGTGTAGGCAGCACTGACTGGCACTGTGTAGGCAGCACTGACTGGCACTGATAGGTGGCACTGATTGGCAGCACTGATAGGTTGCACTGATTTGCACTGATAGGTGGCACTGACTGGCACTGATGGGTGAATTGAAAGGCAGCTCAGATGGGCAATGATATGTGGCATTGATGTGCACTGGTATGCACTGATATGTGGCATTGATGTGGCACTGATGGGCACTGACACGTGGCACTGATGAGCACTGACTGCTGGCACTGATGGACACTGACAGATGGCACTTCTGGGGCCACACTGATCATCAGGGCACACTGATCATCAATGCCCTGATGATCAGTGTACATGTCCCCTCCGCGGAAAGCCGATTATCGGCTCTCCTCTCCTCTCGAGCTGTCAGCGTGACAGCTCGAGAGGAGAGAAATGCCGATAACCGACATTTCCATGTTTATATGTGATCAGCTGTGATTGGACACAGCTGATCACATGACCGAGCCGACATCTTTGGCTCTTTCCGTGATCCGCTGTGTCCGAGGGACACAGCGCATGCGATCACCGCGCTCCGCGGTCCCTGAGCCGCGCATGCGCGGTGAGAATGGAAGGACGTCATATGACGTCTTATCAGAACGAGAGAACCATCTTGCGCCCGTCATTGTACTATATGGTGGGTGGAAGGTGGTTAACTACCCTGCTATTGATTGGAGTAATGGCACCGCTGGAACAGTTAAAGGGGGAAAATGTATAAATATATCACAAGAGAATTTTATGGTATAGTTTATAGAGGCCCCAACTAAAAATGATTCTCTTCTGGCCCTGGTAATCTCTAATCATGCAGAGCTTATTACTGATGTTCTATCTCCAAAGCCATTAATGTTTATATAAAAAAATATCTGGTTAGCAGTGACCATAACATTTTTTCATTGAATGTTAGCTATAAACAACAAACATACACTAGAAACTCAAAAACACTTACCTTTAAGAGATCAAATTTTCCAAGGATGAGAGCTGCTCTCCAAGATTTAAACTGAGAGGGATATTGGCATTGAAGAACACCAAACAAATGGAATTTGTGAAAACCACTGTATGTGAACATACTGCAAAATATAAGCTCATGGACAATTTGTTTAAAAGGCTAAAAATAAAACCTATGTGGCTCACGGCCATAGTTAAAAAAATATATACATAATAAGAAAAGAGCTTTTAAAAAATATTAAATTGAAGGAACACTATCATCGTTTATAAAGAATATAACAGAATTTGTAAAAAGGACATCAAGGCCAAAAAAAATTCAAAACAAACAACAGATTGCAAATGAAAATAAGACAAACCCCCTACATTCCTAAAAAATATGTAAGTGTTCTAAAGGCTCAAGGTTTTTTACCTTCATGCATTCTATTGATAAAAAAACTACTATATCCCTAATCTCCCATATGCAAAAATATCTGTTTAGTGAATATATCCAAAATAACATAAATGGAAGCAAAAAAAATATATATAAACAGTATTAAATGCAAGAATAAACTACATGAAGGAATGCCCATCAGATAATGTAAAGTTGCAGGTAGTAATGGATTCTTTAACTATACAGTTGTATTAAGCATCAGATTTCACCCTCGTGCTCCAGAAACACACAGCTCTCTGTGAACCACCACCAGGTGTGCGCTTACCTTATTGCTATGACCTCCCACATATGTGTTTGGTCATAAAGCTCTTTTGTCCAGCAAAGTGAACATTTGTGATGGAGATCTCCTTCTCTTGCTGTTTCCACTCACCACCATGTAAACAAAACACTATATATAGTTCTTTATCCTTATAAAATATTTGTGTTTGTAGCAAAGAGATAAAATCCTACTCACACATTATAGGTGCTAGATCGCACCAGATATAAACAGCCCAAATAGATGTAAAAGACTCTTCGCAATAGCTAAATGTTAAGGACCGGCAATCAAACAAACACTTGATATCTCATGTATGAGTGTTGTGATGTCATCCAGGCCCTGCACCCACAGGGCACATGACTTCTTCAGGGGGAAGATGGACAGAGAGAGAGTGGGGAAGACAGAGAGAGATGGAGAAGAGAAAGAAGGAGAGGGAGGGGAGAGAGAGAGCGGGGAAGAGAGAAAAGAAGAGAAGACAAGAGGAGAGCCCTTACTGTAAATGTATCTTCACTGTGCACATTCTCCAGATTACCTTCTCCTAAATCAATGCCTCTGCTTCTACTGCCCATCTCTGCTCTTTCTTCTCCCCCTCCCCAGTCCCCAAGGCAGATTGGTTCCTTCTCCAGCTCAGTTCCTATATTATTTTTCAATCAAAGGTGGGCTTGGGAAGGGAGCGGGTACTAGTGCCCATTGGCTCAGTAGGCAGCAGGAGGTTGATCAGCTGTAGCTGTGCAGTTAGCTCTTCAGTTCCTCACTTCATGCCCTGCTGGCTGGTTGACAGCCATTCCTATACTGTTTGAGGCTGCTGGTTCCTTCCTCTTTCTTCTAAAGTCAGTGACGGTGTAACTGCAGGGACTCCCATGCATGCAGTGTCAGGTGTGCCCGAGTTTTTAGACTGCCTTGCCTCCCAGAACATATCTCCCTCAAATCTCTCTGCCTAAAACAAATTTCCATCCCCCAGTTCCCCTCTCCCAGCCAAAATTTTCATCCCCAAATCCCTCCTCCTAGCACAAATATTTGCCTGTCAGGACTCGGATCTGAATTCACTACCTCTGTTGCATCGGGCAGTAGCCATCCTTGCTGAGCCACCTGAGATTCTGGACCACATCCTGTCTGAACCTTTGGATAATCTTGTCTTGTATCTTGGTTCTGGTGAACCTTGAACTCCTTGCTCCTCTCAAAGGCACGCATTAAAATATTCTCCTGCGATCGTTAAGGAAATCTATGTAATTTCTTAAACGCAAAAATGTTAAGATTGCCAAGCTTGTACCATTTTTGTTTGTTCCCTTGCTGTCATGTGACCAGGATGTCCCTCCATTCAAAGTGTATGGACAGATGGTGGATGTGTCAGCTTGGGTCCAGGGATGTCGCTTTCAAAAGTGATTTGTCTGTTCCTCTGTAGATGAGAAATGGGAGAAGCTGCATTGTGTACCAGTCAGACCTCTCTCATGAATGAGGATGCCTGTCTGTCCTCATTCATGAGAAAACATGTGATATCATGGATGTGGGTGGGGCTGGACAGAACTAGAGTGGGTTTGGGTGGGTACAAGGAAGTGCCTGTGAGCAGCCACTTTGAGCTGCAGAGGCACACCATTCTTTGTGAAGAAGAAGAGGATTGCTGACTGTCTAGATTAGGTTGTTGTTTCTAATCAGACATTCAGAAATTCTAAGAATGCATAATATAAAGGTTTACTGTATTGTACATATAAATAAGCTTCCTGTGCTAAGCTCAAAAACCAGTCCCTCAATCGGGGCCATGGCAAATGACATGAAAAAGTGGCAAAACACTGCTCCCAACAGTATAGCTGTGGCTCTTTTTCATGGCTTATGCCCTGGCCTTGAATAAGATGGAGGAGGAATTTGCTATGTGAGCTGCTGAGTCCTGTGAGAATTTACTGAAAAGATGGTAACAAGTACTGTTTGACTTCACTTGTGAAAGTCACACACTCTCTGATAAGACTCAGAGTGTTTGGTGGCGGATACATGGTGCTACACATTTGTTCAGAGAAGTTCACATTTTCAAAACATTATAAGCTGTATCTGCTCTGTTCACTAAAGAATTCGCTGATGAGAGTTGTGAAGTCAGAATACTTTCACTAAAGGCATTTGGGGCTTCCCGTTACTGATTTGCTTATTTCTATTGAGATCTGTTTTTAGATTGGTATAGTTTTCTTACAAGCACTGCATTTATTTATTTACCATTTTTTTTTGTATAGTAAATCCTATAGTGTGTGCTGGCTGCTAGTTAGTATGGTTTTCCTTTAGCGCAGGGCTTTTTGTTATTTTTTTTACTCTGAAACAGAGCAAGTCTCAGCTTTTAAAATGTGACTGGGGAATGGAGTACAGTATACAGCATGATCCATAAACCGATTTTTTAGGATGAACGCCATATGCTCTAGGTCTGCACCTGGTTAAATTACTAAATTTGGTAAACCAAATGCTAAAATATTTATTCTCTCAGAGGAAGTGATGGAGTGCTTTGTTACTGAGAACTGATTATTGAGGGCACTGAGTTTAAGTGTGGTGCCCACAGAAGTGCAAAAAAGTCATATTTATAGGTCTACTCTTAACAACTGTTGTAACAGATAAGATTGTGAAAAAGATCCTTCTTTTAATGTGTTAATGTGCATATCTGCCTGTTATCTATCTCTGTTTGGTATCTACAGTATTTCTGTGACATCAGAGGTTCTTTGACACTACAAATTGTATAAATGTTCAAGAAGCAGGTTAAAAAGTTTGCAGACCACTCTATCTTCTCTCTTTCTTTCAGTAATTATGCAAGCAGGCTAACTTATATTTTTTAATTTGCAAAAACAACATTGAACCACAAAATTCAGTATACTATATCAGTAGCTGCTTTGGAAACACAAGAAGAAGAAGAAGAAGAAGAAGAAGAAGAAGAATTCCAGTACAGCAAAAAGTGTATCTGCAGAGAGCTCCGCTATTTCTGACAGTTCTTTGACAGTTCCTTCACATTTACAGCGGTTGAAACATTGTATCTATTTGTTTCCGAATAAAAACATCTGTATCCTAAATGGAAACAAATAGATACAATGTTTCAACCGCTGTAAATGTGAAGGAACTGTCAGAGAACTGTCAGAAATAGCGGAGCTCTCTGCAGGGACACTTTTTGCCGGCTGTAGAAGGGATGAAAATCGGCCGATCGGGAAAAATTCGATTCGTGCATCCGAAGTTTGCTAATTTTCGGATTCGGTGCGAATCGAATTTTTCCTAATATTCGAAACGAATTCCACTTCGCCAAGTTCGATTTGCTCATCTCTAGTTATGATATTTGTTTTTTTTAGTTCTTTTTTCTCATTGTGACTTCTAAGTACATTTAGTTATCCTAGCACTGGTGCTTTTAGTTCTACAAAACATGATTACTACAGTTATACCAAGTGTGCATTTATTATATATAATAATATAACCACTAATCACAGTTTTATGTAATGCCTGTATATTTTTTCCCATATTTCTTAAAACCATATGCATTCTAAAACTGTATGTCGTGTTTCCCAGAGCTGTCATAGAAGTACTGGTAGGCAGGGTATTTGTTAGTTACAGATGCACTAATATTTTTGGTTTTCAAACTGATTATTACTACTCCCACTC